ACAACACATAAATAATAACACTGGAATCTTTATCTCTGTTGTACATAAATCAAAATACGTGGCAAAGTATGAACATGATCAGGAGGTCACAACACAGTGAATAAACCCACCTGGATTTGGTCACCCTTCCTGCCCTGGAGCCAGGAATGAAACATAAGCCCCTGCACTCCACTGCACACCTTTCATTCCCAAGTCAGTGCACTGGTTACACCACAAAACTCACCTGAGGTCCAGGAAAAAAAGGCAAGAATTAAACTATGTATGTTCTGAAAACTGGACAGATATCTGGCAGCACTTGGATTAAAAAAAAAACCCCTTTCTCTGTATAGAGAGAGGAACTTAGATCCTAAGGATTCAGTGTGCTTCCAAAGAATACCAGAGTAACCTGAAGTAGAGGCATCTCCAGATTCCAGGGTAGTATCTTAAACCACGGGACCATCCCTTCACCAATATGATAAATAGCTTGAGCATTTCATCTGATGTGATAAACTCTAACAATACTGAAGTGAAAAAAAAAAATCAGTCCAGATTTAGAAAGCATGATTTCATACGAATTTCATAAAAATATGTCAACAAAGTTAGTTTAATGCAAGCATCTTTAGAAGATATAGAATTAGCCTGATTTTAAGACTATTTGCAGCAGATTTTCAGTAGCAGTTCATATTTCATTTTCCCAGGTGCCATTTGGCACTTAATGAATATTCAGATATTCTGGTCCCTTCTAAAACTAAAATGCGTTTTTTTTGAGTACTGCTTCTTTCCTTCTTAAAAGTTTAACTTTAAAAGGCTTGAGTCCTTTCAAGTACCTCTTACCAAATTCCTTCAATCGGACCAAGGTACCTCTTGTGTATTAATCTGACAGAATGAGGTTTGTTTAATRATCGTTGCTTTAAAACCTCTTGCTCTGAAGACAYGAATTAGCACACTAAGGGAACATGGGGTAAAAACGTAACATGAACCAACTCCCCCTTCCTTCCTCCCTCCCTCTCTTCCTTCCTTCCTCTTTCCTTCCTCCCTCCCTCCCTTCCTTCCTTCCTCTTTCCTTCCTCCCTTCCTCCCTCCCTTCCTTTCTTGCCTTCCTCCCTCCATCCCTATAAATCATACATCCATAAACTGTTAGACATCTGTTTTATTACTTTGTCARTGGACCATTTGCCCCAAAATAGTTATTCCTTAGTCATTCTATGCCCAGTCTTGTTCCTGATAATGCTGAGATATTGGAAAAAATGTTTCTTTGCTTCAATGGTAAAGGATAAGACTCCARTCATTGAAAAGTATTGCTGCCCATCAAATTGAAAGCCACAAATGGACACAAAACAAGRTTCATTTCGCAGGTTTATCCTCAGGAATATAACAGTACAAAATGAGTGGGACAAACTGGCAGGTCAACGCAACTCTTTATGTCTCCTCCTACTGGTGTAAATGCCAACACCAGTTGTAGAGCCTCTAGTGATAGGGCTCTACCATGGCACTGTCTTTTTGGTTGTACAGGCCACTGTCATCTCTGTTCCTCCCTTTCCTTTGTCTTATTTTCCCTATTACTGCCTATTCCTCTATTGTGCCCTTACATCTACYTCAGTAGTACCCCCTCTAATTCTTTCTGTTCTGTCTCGGGGTCCAATGCCTTAAAGACACTTGTCACCTGTTGCTGAATAAGTCAACCACATGCTCCACTCCCTGAATCCAGGGATTTTATGTATTAAAAAATCTCCCAATTTCTTATTAGATTTTTTCATATTTAATTCTCCCTAACTGGCTGCAACATGCATTTCACTGGCTGGTCCTGAGGTACTCAGTACATACTCAGCAAATCATAGGATGATAGAAGTATTTAGATTGGAAGGGATCCCAGCAGATTTCTAGCCCAATCTTCTGCTTAAAACAAGGTCAACTATGAGATCAGACTGCGTTTCTCATGGTTTTATCTACCTGGGGCTTGAAATCTTCCCAGGAGAGAAACTGAGCCATCCATTCCAATGTTCCAAAGTTCTCATGGGAGAAAAAAGTTTCTCCTTATGTTTACCCTCAGCCTTGCGTCTCTTATACATCACTGTGAAGGGATGGGTTCCATCTTTTTTACAACCTCCTTCTGTATAGTGGGTGAGGCTGCTAGTGCCCCTAAGTGGCACATGCTTCAGCCCTGAGCATCTTTGTGGCTCTCACCTTAACTTGCACAGGAGATCTAGGAATTGAAGTCTAAAAAGTACAGAGTAAAGGGAATAATGACTACACTTGATCAGGTTGCTATGCTCCTGTTAATAGTTCCAGCATTCTTTGCTGCCAAGGCCCAACACTGGCTCATTTTGCCTTCCTGACTATCAAGGTCTTCTTCAGCAGAGCTGCTTCCTAGCCAGTCAGTCCCAGGCTGAGTGGGGTGCAAGAGCCTTGGCCTTCCCAGCTGTACAACTCTGCAATTTTCTTGCTGAATTTCATGAAGTTCCTATTGATACATTTATCCAGCCTGTGTCTGGTCCCTATGTCTAGATCCCTATGGACTGTCCCTACTTGAGTTCATAGACCCCCAGCTTGCAGTCATCTCCAAATCTGATGAGACTACACTGCCCCACTACGTCCTCAACCTCACTGTTAATATAATCAGTTTCTAGATGAAGTATTTTTTCTTACTCATCTTCAGCTGCCCGTTGTCAGAAAAGCTATTAAGGTACAAAATCTCCGCAAAGAAAAGGACATTTTGGGTTGTATCTTTGTCCCCAATTCAATAAACTGTAATTAGGAACTAACAGCCTAAAGTAAAAGCCACACTTCTTAACACCTGTGGTTAACACCTGTTAGATATGTTTGCTCAAGATTATTTTCCTGGCTTATGATCATGCCTTAGATTTTATCTTCAAATAAAGTTTGAACATCCTTTTTGTGACACTTTCTTTAAGACCTTTTCCATCATATTTTTCCATATCAAAACAGCCTGTAAAGTCACATTGATTCCTGAGAAATTTTCAACAACCACATCAGTTTTCCACAGCCATATCGGGGAATAGTCACACTGCCTTCACTTAATCTCCACATTAGTTTCCACATGTTATTTTTTCTGAGCCACAAATCCACTCTTCTTTCCCTTTATTAGATTTCAACTAATCAGAGTCATGGGGTCCAATAGCACTGGAAATATCCTCCTGAGTTAATGATTCCACTTGCAATATTATCACAATATACTTCTATAAAATCTGTACAGATATTGGTCATGTTTCTTCTTCAGTAGTTGCTGAATTGAGTTCTTTTCTTTCCTGCAGATTTACTTTCTAACACTCATACCAATATGTTCCTTCCTTATATCTCTTGTGTAAAGTGAGAAAGATTCATCTCGATTCTTCTTTTTCATATTGGTCTATAAATTTCAAAGTTTTGCACATCTGCAATAAAACTTTCCATCTGTGTTTATGTTGAAATGAAAATGTCTTTCAAATTAATCTCACAGCACCTTCATTCTGGAAAGAGAATATAGTAAGGCAGTGCTAGRAAATATTTTAAAAATATCTTCGTTTTCTTCTGCTAGTGCTCTGGATGCAGTCAGCTCTGTACACATGGGTGGAGACACAAACTACATTCCTACAGACTGCATTCAGCAGATGGTGACTGAGAGGAAATGKGCACAATGGTTATGTACTAAACCTCAACACTTACCAAACCAATACAAACAACCTCTCACAAGTGTGTACGTGTACTCATGACTACATAGTAAACAAATATGGATAGTTTAGTTTGCCATGTTCACAATCATTCACAAATTATCAGAGAGAAAACAGCAACAGGAATGAAGGTAAAATTGGAAACAACATAAGTACATGGGTACATGATCAGACACTGACACAAACATTAGTTAACAATGCTTTATTGTTAAGACTGAGATTTGTATTTGAAACTCAAATCCCTGCTTAACATTAAATGGCTGAATGCCAATTTCCAGTTTTATATACCGCCACTGCAGAGAACAAATCAGCATTCCACGTTAAACAATTTACCTAATTACTGTCTAGTATTTCAGAAAAATGCTGCTTAACTCCCAAGTTATATTTGTTAAACTCATGTCAGTCYAAAGTGGTCACCCAAAAGACAACTACAGTAAACTGAGTAGGAGTCAAAAAGCTAAGCAGATCAACAAAATCAATATCAATTTCTAAAGTAAATAAGAAAACAATGCAATTATGCTTTCAATGTATTATTTTAAGAAAAAAGACCACGTCTTGAAGGTGTGGAGGTCCTGTGTGTATTTGGGGAGTAACCACAATAGAACAAAGAAATACTTTTTAGACTATACAAGGGAAGTATGTGCAACTGAGAAGCACCCTATACAGTGAAGGAAAGACTGTAAGAAAGAGTGGTTGGTTGACTCAAACCACATTTAGGACAGAAAACAGGGTTTTTTTGATAGAAATAMTAGTTTAGATTGATTTGGGGAAAACACTGACTTTAAAAACCACAAAAAACTGTAATACAGAGATGCAAAAATCTGCTTCATCGYAGGTTTTCAGGAACAATGTCAGACAAACACCCATAAGAAATGAACTTGCTATACTGATCCTGCTTCAGGCTAAGGGAGGGGGTCAATTGGGATTACTTCCCATCTTATGTGTTAAGGACACTATTTTTTTTTTAAGAGGGGGAAAAGGCACAAAAGAAGAATATGAATTCAAGATCAAACATCTCAATTAARAAGAAAATTCTCATAAACTACATTTTCTTCATAGGATGTTTCTGTATGGTTGGGTTTTGGGGTTTTTTTTRAYTGGAATGAACAGGCGCAGACTGATTTCTTTCTTTGTTATATTGACCCTGAAGTATCTGAAATCGTCTTTTAAAGAAATGAGGAAATCACCATACCCTATGAAAGCTGGAATACTCCCTCTATTCTAAACCTTGCAACTCTCTAGTCACACAATCAACAAAAACCCTCTTTGCGCAGTCACAATCTATTAACAGCAAAGTGAAACAATTTGCCACATTTTAAATAAGTAAAATATTTCTGATAGTGCATACTTTACCAGTTATGTCGTGCTGTTTGAAAGACTCACTGTAGATTTGATACTGATTAGGGCAATGTTTCTTCAGCCATTTGCAGACATCCTGCTGGGTCCATAACGCCACAGGCTTGGTCAGCTTCACAGTCCCAGACTAGGCATGCAGAACAAAGAACAGAAATTATGTTTAGTCTGCACACAAATTTCAGAAATATTAATTYATAACATCCATATATGACATTAAAATACTAAATGCAAAACAGGAGCTGCTCTGACAGATGTCCAGTTATAGCCAGCACATTACATAAGACCCCACTGTTCAACTACATCACACAGGAATCACACACAGTGAAAGGTTCTTTAACATWATTTTCCACTGCATTCATGTTCCTTGCATCAAAAAAACCATACTGCACTTAAATAGTTAGTTTTAGGAGTGACCAACTGAGTACAGGCAAGGGGTAACACATGCACGCTTGGAAGGCCTCAAACTCATAAAAGAGATTTTTGGCCCAATTTGGATATCATCACGGAACACCATGAGTACCTTCAGGCCAGGTATGGTCCTCAACTACAATTACAGAAGATCTTGCAACAAAGGCTGTTAGTGCCAACAAGCCTTAAGACTGGTTTTGCTTGGGAAAAGAATGCTACACACCGATGGACGCAAAGCTGGTGACATGGATTCATACTGAGCATTTCGGCTGACAAAATTCTTAATTTGAATGATGTTTACAAGCAGCTATAGTTTTTCTGCTTCCTTTTTACCTTTAACTTTCCTACAATCAGCTTTACAGGAAATAAGTAGGACTCCCACTTAAAACAGTTGATTTCTTTATAAACGAACAGTAATTTTTAAGGAAAACAATCATTCAATACTTTCCTTARAATTCAGTTTTAGAATAGATTGGCAGTTTATAAATAAATATTCATAAATTGTTTGTTATTATATGTCTAAAGTAGCATTTCATTTAATCAAACCTTTCACCTTTGCACATACTTTTTTTGACTGTATAAGAATGCTGAGTTCTAAGCTACCTGAACCACAGGGATTTAAAACTTCTTGTCAAAGTAGGCAAAAAAATAAAAAATAATATTTTCAAAGTGATTTTAATTTTTTTTGGTAACAAATCTGCACAGAAGACTAAGGAAACTTTAAACAGATGGGCTGTTATTACCAACAATAGATGTTTCACATTGGACACTGCTGATGTAAGTGGGCGTGAACATCAATGTATACATTTACTTCATATTTTGTCAAGGAATGAGTCTAGGGAATAAAATCAAAGTGTCTGTTTCAATGATATGCATGAAGAACACTGTCCTCCAGCTCCCTGGTGGTGTCAAAGGTTCAAGAGAAGCTTTTCTGCACAAATTTGAGATGAAAGGGAATGTCATCACAACCCATCTTCTCTATTAGGACTCATGGCAGACTCCCTCAATACCAGCAGCCAGGTTTTACTCCACCATTTACTCAGATGTACTTCGTCAGACAGACTTTTACAAGGTTGCTTTGAAATTTTTCATTACTAGAAGCCCTAAAGACCAAACCAGTTTTAAGCTGGTGCTTTGCATGTCCTCTTAAGTCCATAAAGTACATCATGCAAAGATAGTAAGTTAGGGCCAGATTATGGCAGACCTAAAAATCCAGCAGGCAAACATGTCTTGAATTTCCCATGTCCAGTTGTCCCTATTACCTTCTTACTGCCTGTGAAGAAGGTAAATAAACAGCAGGAAAACTATAGTTGAATATATAACACACATTCCCTAGCTCAGCCTTAAGAAAAATACACTCACCAGAAACACAAATCTTGTTTCAAACACACTAATAGGCATCATCCATATTTAGAGGTATCATAATAATACACAAAACCACCACAAAGAATCAGTCTCATTTTCTGTTGCCACCCACCAAGATATAGGAGCTTGACTGACAGACTTGGCCTCCACAGAAAAAGAAACTCCCAGAGGTGTTAAGAAACTTCCAAAGGTGTTAAGGGTGCATAAAAACCAAGAGAGCACTTGCTTTACCACTACTGTTTCTGAGAAGCTCATCAGTCTTCTAAACACACAGGATCCCACAAAAGTCTGGAGAAGGAGCAACCTCTGTAGGGAGAGCAAGTGCCCTGTAACTTCCAGTTCCTCATGCAACTCAAAAGATCAAAGGGTCCTCTTTGAACTTATCTGGCCCTCTTGTTACTGCTACTTGAGTCAAAGAAGAAACTGAATTTCAATGAAGAGTCCAATATTATGAAATCAGTTAGCTAATTTTTTGTTACATGCATATATAAATGTGTATCCTTCACAAATTACATCAAAGAAATAAACAAGCAAAAATAGCCATATAACAGAAGCAGTCTCTCTGATTCCACCAAAATCCCTGAACAATAGACTCAAGACTTCACTGTCTATCTTCATATGTGTTACTGCTTAAATTTATTTTTTTTACATTGAAATTTTTGAAGACTAGAGAAAAGTCTGTTAACCCTTGAAAAATAAATTGTTAATGTTTTTTTCTTGTACATCACAAAAATACTTAAATGACAAATATTTGTATACAAATATATACAGCTGGCTACAGACTTAAAATTTATTCCTAGCTGAAAGTGCACAAGCTGTGCCAATGTTTGTTTAAACAAAGAGGCTGTTCTTCTCAGTTCAGCAACTATTGTCCTCTTAAAAGGTTTAAGCACCATCATGTTAAATATCGGAAGCACAAATTTAGTAACAATTACAGTACAAATTTAGCACATCCCTCTGTGCCTATGGAACTGAAAGGTATTTTCAAATGTAGCTTTTGTGCCATGCAATATACAGATCACTGCATTGCAAACATACATGCTGACTTCTTACTGTCCAGTGYTTGGAATTATGATACAAATATTTAAACTTATAACTGCAGTCCAAAGACATTTTTACATTGACAACATCAAAAGTTAGGTTTCATTTTCTAATTCATAAGGACTTGATGAGTTAGAGGAATAAAGGGAGTTAAAAAAAATGGTTCTAAAAGTATGCCTTTGCTTTCATTTTTGGAACATGAAAATATTTTCTAACCAGATGCTCCAAATAAAGACTCTTAAAAAATATGCTTCCCTCCTACAAAAATAATTTCTTAGTTTCTTCCCTGCTCTGAAAGCTAGATACAAAAAAYCTTCCAGTAAACCAAAGAAAATTAYCTTYACCATAAACAYAYCTACTAAAAGACACCCCTGCCATTAACTACATATAAACTACCTGGACAGGTGAAAAACGTACTATGTTTWACATTATTTCTGTCTATCAGCTCAGTCAAACAATAGGCCCAAATTGATTAAAATAAAATAATGTATTAAAAAAATACCTWTGGTCTGGCCTTCCTTTTAATTTACCTGACATAAACTCATCCTAAAATCACTCTTTGCTGGCAACTCTTTAATAGTTTGAATCTTGCCAAATGCTATGTCAACTCTTATGTCAGATATAGATCTAATGAGAATAAAAGTCTACAGTATTTCAGTCTTTTCTTGTATATTTGAAGGAAAAGCTCTTATTTCAGGATTTTGTGACTAACTTATTTTTCTAAATTGCCCAACCCCAGCTTTTGCCTAGACATATCTCAAAATATAAAAATTACTCCCAAGAATAAGAAAAAACTAGCATATTCACTACAGGACAAAATTTCATGYTCTCTTTGTTCCATGGTGCAGGGAAGATAGTATTTAATAGCACCAATTCAAGAATAAATAAATAAACAAATCAAACTTACAGCCTGTGTGTTACTACAGAGCATATTTCAGTGCTCAGACCAACATTAGCAAGCAAGCCTAGCTCTTCTTAAGCAATGACAGACAAGTTATCTCTTCAGCCTTCCAGGTGTGGTTTACCAAGCCTGCCAGCTTTGAAGGTCAATTTCTTCACCAGAATTTCTTTGTCTTTATTTATCATATTTTACTCCAGAAAGGGTTTCTGTATTTTTGAGTGACAAAGGATTCAAACCTCATTATTTAAACTATACTACATACTTTAGGACAAGCTATTTAAAAGTGCTTCTCCTCTACTCTAACATTTTGTGTATTTACAAACCTCCACAAATTACAAAATCCAGGGATTRTGGAGATGAGGGTGCTCAGTCAAACGGGGCTGAAGTTTTGCTGGAAGAAGGCTCTTGCACACTATTTTTAACATCTGGTTTGCCAACATACTGATCCTGAGATATAAGCATAGTCAATGCATATTTACATTCCAATTTACCCCAAGTTAGACCCTACAGCTTCTTGTATGAAACAGATGGATAAAAAAAGGCACTGCTCAAAGCATTCAGGCAGATTCTGCTCCAATATACATCTTCAGACACTCTGCTCTGGGGTTTTCAGTTTAACTAGAAAAAGAGAAAGCAAAACCATTTTGTTACAGCTATTGTTACAGTTGGTCAAAGGACTGTCACAGTTTAGACTCTGCCCACAAGTAAATATCACACAGCTGCTGACTCACTTGCTCCCATAGTGGGATGGGGAGAAAAATCAGATTTAAAAAAAATTAAACTTATCAGCTGATGTAAGAGGAGTTTAATAAGTGAAACCAAGTAAAATATAGYAATGCTACTGTTAATAGTAAYAATGACAATAATGATGATGATAACAATAATAGTGATTAAAAAGTAAGAAGGAGAAAGAAATAAACCCCCAGTAAAATAAGTGATTCCCAATACAATTGCTCACCACTTTCTCAGCAATACCCAGCCCAATCCCAATGCTTGGCACCTTCTGGCTGTTGTTCTTTAACCCCAGATACAGCCAAGCCCCAGGCAGCCACTCACTCACTCACTCACTCACTCACTCACTCACTCACTCACTCACTCACTCACTCACTCACTCACTCACTCACTCACTCACTCACCAGGAGGATTGGGGAAAGAATCAGAAGGGTAAAAGCTGTAACACAAGTTACAGTTGAGATAAAGACAGTTTAATGGGGAAAGCAAAAGCATGCTCACAAGCAAAACAAGGAATTAAGTCAGTTTCCCATGGGCTGRCAGGTTTTCAACACCTCCAGTAGAGCAGGGACCCATCATGCATAAAAGTGACTTGGAAGACAAATATCATCATTCCAAACATCCTCCCTTGCTCTTTCTTCCCCCAGCTTTATATCCTGTGTATGTTGTCATGTGGTCTG